GCGCGGCGGTTCGGCCGGGACCGGCAACAGTTGGAGGCGGCAGAGGTTGGGGAGGGAAGTGAGGCGGGAGGGACCCCAGCTCTCCAGCCGGGAAGGGCCACCTGGTGGGACGCGCCCTGCCGCACCCCCTCGGAAAAGCAGTTGACACCGCGGGGGACGTTTGGCCCTCCTGGGAGGCGGGGGCCGGCCGCAGGCCTCGGGGTTGCTGAGAAATCAGGAGAAGCAACGCCATTTTTGCTGAGAAGAGAAAGTTTGGAAGTATTTGGCGCAGCGACGTTCAGGGGAGCTGTCAAAGGCCGGTCCCTAAGGGCTCTCTGGCCTGGCCATAGGTGGCGGCCCGAGCCCTCTGCTGCACCGGCGTTCCGGGGTGTGGACCAGAGGCCGGTGATGGCCACCGGGCGACCTGGCCGCTCGCTGCCCTCTCCTGGAAGGGGTTGCTCTCTATCAGGGATTTCAGGTGTAGTGCCCACGCCTGTGTCCCCCTCTCAGGGCGCAGAGAGAGAGCCTGCCACCCCCCACCCCCGTGCCCAGTACACTGGCTTTATGCTGAAAAGAAATAGACCGAACTGTGCCCAGGGGGTCACAGCACCCCGTTCACATCTCAACTCCTCACTTATCTTTTGCTGGTAACATTTGGCTCCTAGTGAAAGAGCTACCCACCCCCCATCTTGGACGGCAGTGAGGTGTGTGCCCCGATAGTGGATCAAAAGTGCCGGCAGTGAAATCAGCCTCATACTAGAAGAAAATAATTTCCCTGTTCATTAACACGATGACTAAAGTTCCTGTTCCTAGTGATGACGTGGGGCGAGGACCCCCACTCAGCCTGAGGCAGTGTGCCCTTCCCTACCCCGCCTTAAGCAGGGTGCTGCCAGGCGTCACAAAGGCTGGCTGTTACCCGTCTGCGGATGCAAAGCAGGGGGACCTGCCCCTCCTGCTTCCTACTTAACTTTGGAGACCCGTGTGGTCCTCGCCGCCTTGCTGGACTTTGTACTGTGCTGCTGGCCAGCAGACAGCTTGAAGGTGACAAACATCTCGGCCTTCCAGAGGAAATTCTTTTCAGAGCTGAAGTAAACGGGTAGCAAGGCCAGTGGACAGGCTTGGCATTTCGATGTCCAGTTGCCCAGGTCCTGGGTTGTGTCTGGCCAGCCTTCTCGGGACAGCTGGGTTGGAATGGCCACCTGTATAGTTTTGAGTTGTTTCCTCTCCTGTAAGCAGTCTTCGAGATCTTAATACCACAGGAGCCCTAACTTTTTATAGTGGTACTAAATGGCCTCCGCAGAGCACCCAAAATACTGATTTTTTTTTTTGCTGGTAAAGCTCCTGGAATAACTTTTTAAAAACCCATTGTAAAATTGGATGCATAAATAGTCATTTAGCTATTAAAATTGAGCAGAATAGACAATTTTTGTAACCTGGAAATCGTTCCTAGTTGAAAGCCTAAGTATGGTGTGATTCAACAGGAAAAAGACAAATCCGGAAATGAAAGTGTGAAAATGTAACTTGTTAGTATGTGAATTTGGTCTGTGCTAATTAACAATGTTTTGGAAATTTAGGAAGTTATAAAAGCAGTTGTCTGATGTCAGAGGAAGGAGACCGCAGGGCCAGGAAACAGCCCCTGTCTTTCGAGGGTGTAGAATCCTGGCAGTAGGGCTGGGCAGGCGTGGCCGGGGGCTGGTGCCCGGGGGCCGGGCCGGGCTGTGCTGTGCTCCTGGAGGGCCAGGCCCGGAGACCAGAGGGTCTTGTTCCCTGCAGCTCTGTTGGTTTTATCAGA